TATCCCATCCTGTTGCTCCTCTATCCCATCCTGGTGCTCCTCTATCCCACTCTGGTGCTTGGCTGGCGGTACCCAAAGGAACCCGAATCCCCCACATCCCCTTTTAAGACCTTTGGATCTCTCCCCAACCCCAGTCAGGGCCGTTGGGGCTGTGACCTTCCCTGAGCTCCACGTGGAAAACCAGATCCACCAGGCTGAAGGTGCTCCCAGATGTTGCCACATCTCCTTTCCCACGGCCCCAGGGCACGTCCTTTCTCCTGATGAGGAACATGGAGCCCTGGAAATGGGGCTGCTGAGGAACCCCGTGACCTCAGAGCAGCTCTGTGACCTCAGAGCAGCTCTGTGCCCGCACAGCCCCCGTCCCTCAGCTCCATCCTGCCCCCGGGGCTGCCCCTGGGCCCGTTTTCCATCCCAGGAACGTGTGGAGTTTAATTTCTCCCCGTTAAAACAACCCGGATCCACACAGTGAGCTGGGAATCCCAGAACCTGCTGAGCTGGAAGGGACCCACAGGGTGGACATTAAAGGGGGATCCCACTGGTTCCAGCCCCGGCATTCCATGAGAAGTTGGATCGCTGAGCTTTCCCATCTTTTTATCCCACCACGAGCTTCCAGGTGTGGGAATCCAGGCTGGAAGGAGGCACCTCCCGAAGGGACATTTGGGGTCCTGGGGGCACTTCCCCAGGGGCAGGAGCACCCCCGGGAGACGAGGATTCAGGTTTCAACCCCCCCCAGGGCTGCTTGAGGGGGAAATGTCCCTGGGAGAGGGGGACCCGAGGGGATCAGAGGGTCTGGATGCTCCGGGAAGGTGGGACCCCCCGAGCTGGGAGGATGAGGAGGGAGGGGAGAGGTGAGAGATGGGAGAGATCTCACTGAGGAGGGAGGGGAGAGGTGAGAGGTGGGAGAGATCCCACTGAGGAGGGAGGGGAGAGGTGAGAGATCCCAGTGAGGAGGAAGAGGATCAGTGAGAGATCCCAGAGAGGAGGGAGGGGATCAGTGAGAGATCCCACTGAGGAGACAGGGGTGTGTGAGAGATCCCACTGAGAAGGGAGGGTGAGAGATCCCACTGAGGAGGGAGGGTGAGAGATCCCACTGAGGAGGGAGGATGTGTGAGAGATCCCACTGAAGAGGGAGGGGTGCGGTGACAGATCCCACTGAGGAGGGAGGGGATTAGTGAGAGATCCCACTGAGGAGGGAGGGGTGTGTGAGAGATCCCACAACTCCCGAGGCGCTGTGGGGACAGGAGGAAGGGACTCGGTGTCCCAGCACAGGGAGGGATCCTCGGCGTGTCCCGCGCAGGGAGCTGGGCTGGGTGATCCCGGTGGGTCCCTTCCAGCTCGGCACATTCCCTGCTCCCACGATCCTGCGCCGGGAGGGCTCCGAGCCTTTCCCTGCTCTGGGTCCCCACCTGCTGGAGACGCCGGGTGGGATTTGGGAGGTGCCGGGTGGGATTTGGGAGGTGCCGGGTGGGATCTGGGAGGTACCGGGTGGGATTTGGGAGGTGCCGGGTGGGATCTGGGAGGTGCCGGGTGGGATCTGGGAGGTGCCAGGCGATGGGCGCGGGGGTCCCGCCGGGGCAGGAGCTCGGAGGGGTTTCCCTGAGGCTTCTCCAGGACGTTCCATGAGGGGCTTTTCCCTTCCAGGCACGGCTGATGTCTCCCTTCTCCTCCCTTCCCGGCTGGAGTTTGCAGGGATTGAGGGCTGGGTGAGGGGCTGGGTGGGCACCAACCAGGCCCCTTTGGGGACCCCGAGGGCTGTGGGTCCTTCCTGGTCTGCTTCCCTCCTGCCCCGGCCCCTTTCTTCACCCTTGGTTTGTGGTCCTGCCTCCAGGGCTGGATTCCCACCTCAGATTCCTGCCTTTAGAGTTCCCACCTCGTGTTCCTGCCTTCAGGACCGAGTTCTACCTCATATTCCTGCCTTTAGAGTTCCCACCTTTTATTCCTGCCTTTGGGGTTCCCACCTCGTGCTCCTGCCCTTGGGGTCGGGTTCCCACCTCTGCCCCCTCCCTGCTGCCCCAGGGATCCACCCCTGGCCCTGGCAGGGAGTGAGATCCAGGGGATGCCCCCAGAGCCCCAGGAGGGAGCCTGGAATCAGTTCAGGAGCTGAAACTCTCTATCCAGGGGCTCGTGGAAACCCCCCTGGGGGGGGCTGGTGGGAACTGGGGGTCCGGGTGCCGAGGACACCTCGAAGACTTTGGGTTCATTCCAGATGAAGCCAAGGCCCCAAAACTGCCCTTCCAGAGGAACAGCCGGGATATTTCGTGGGATATTTGGGGACAGCTCCGTGTGCCAGCACGGGGTGTGCAGGTTTGGGGCTCTTTGCCCTGTGCCCACCCCCCCCAGGGGCTGTTCCTGGCCAGGGCCATGTCCCCGTGCTCCATCCCCTCCCTACTGTGACACTGATCCCTCCATCCCTCCGTGTCCTCCCCGTGCTGCTGATTCCAGGGCTGGGCTCCTCCAACCTTGTACTAACTAATGGCTTCCCCAGCTCATGAATCCCAGCTAAACCTTCGGGAATCCTCCTTTTCCCACCTCCCTCCGGCAGGGACAGGCAGAAAGGGCAGCTGTGCAGGTCACCCCCACGGGGGGATTCATCCAGCTTTTGGCTCAGTCCTGAGGCAGCTTTTTCTGCCCCGTGTCTCAGTCCTCCATCCATGGAGTCATGGAATGGTTTGGCTTGGAAAACACCTTAAAGACTGTCCCATTCCAGCCCCCTGCCACGGGTAGGGGCACCCTCCACCAACCCAGGCTGCTCATCCCACCCTCCTTCCCACCTTCCACCACTCCAGGCTGCTCATCCCACCCTCCTTTCCCCTTTCCATGAGCCCAGTTGTTCATCCCCCCCTCCTTCCCACCTTCCCCAACATGTCCCAGAGCCCAAGTCCTAAAACTGAATTTTTTTTCCCAAGGAGACGATCCTTTCTCACCACAGTGGGACCCATCCAGCTTTTGGCTCAGTCCTGAGGCAGCTTTTCCTCCCCTGTGCCTCAGTTCTCCAACCATGGAATCATGGAATGGTTTGGCTTGGAAGGGACCTTGAAGGCCACCCAGTTCCACTCCCTTGCCATGAGAAGGGGCACCTTCCACCGCTCCAGGCTGCTCATCCCACCCTCCTTTCCCCCTTCCACCACTCCAGGCTGCTCATCCCACCCTCCTTTCCCCCTTCCACATGCCCAGTTGCTCATCCCACCCTCCTTTCACCCTTCCATGAGCCCAGGCTGCTCATCCCACCCTCCTTCCCACTTTCCCCGACTTGTCCCAGAGCCCAGCTCCTAAAATTGAGTTTTGTTTCCTCAGGGAGCCGATCCTGTCCCAGATCTGGCCCCGGAGTGTCCCCCCCCCGCAGCAGGGACAGGGCACAGGCACCCCCGGGCCGGCAGAGAAGAAAAGCCCAAGCCCAGCAGGCTTTAAAAATGTCAAATGCTCTTTATTGGACCTTCCCGTGTGTTGGGCCTGGAGGTGAAGGGGCTGCAGCCCCGGGGACAAGGAGTCAGAAACCAAACACACACCAAGCAAAGCCTTTCCCGCGGGGGCCTGAGAGAACAGAGGGGCTGGGGGGGGAAAAAATCTTGTTGCAGACAAAAACCTTTGGAGGTTGTAACCGGAGTCGCAGGCAGAGGCTTTGGGAGCCTCTCGGAGGTGTTTTCGCCGCCGAGGACCCGGGGCTGTGGCTCCACAAAGTGGTCAGACGTGGATTAGGACGAAAGAAACCTCGTCCCCGACCAGCGAAGCGCTTCCCCTTCCCTTTGGACGCGTGAATCCAAAGGGAGACCGAGGACAGAGGGGCTCCCCGGGGTCCGCAAAGCCCCGCCGGGGACCCGCTACAACCGGTGCTTCGGCCAAAGGCGCTCCGGGTTCCGGAGGGGGGGTCCTGGAGCCCCCCCCCCACGGGCCCGGAGCTGAAGGACGGAGGAAGGAGAGGGTCTAGCGCAGCTATTTACACCCTGGGTGCGCAGGGCAGGGGCAGGCGGGACCCGCTCCCGCCGCCCCCGGGGGGCTCTCCGCCCTTATCTGATGGTCTTTTTGCTGGTGGTGGTCTTGGAGACGATCCTGACGCTGCCGCCCGTGCTGGAGCTCACGCCTCGGCTGCTGCCGGAGCTGAAGGTGCTGCCCCCGCCGTAGCTGAGCCCCCCGAAGCCGCCGCCGCTGCCTCCCCCGAAGCCTCCGGCGCTGCCTCCCCCGAAGCCGCCGCCGCTCACGGAGAATCCGCCGCCGCCGCCCATCCCGAGCCCTCCGCCCATCCCCAGGCAGCTCCCGCCGCCGTATCCCATCCCGCTGGAGCTGCTGACCACGGCTGGGGGGGAAAACACACCGGGAACACCCGCGTTAGGGTCCCGCTGCCCCCACACACCCCAAACTGGGGGGGTCTGTCGGGAGAGGGGAGAGGGGAGAGGGGAGAGGTACTTACAGACGCTGACGGCTCCCACTCCTTCTCCAGCCAGCCTGTGGGGAAAGGGGAAAGTGAGGAATGACGCCGAAAACTGTCCGTGAGAGCACCCAACGAGGCTCCCGGGGGTCTCTGGGCTGGGGCAGGGCCGGGCCACAGGCGGGAGGTGACAACGCGCGTTTTGAGCAGTGCCAGGAGGTGACAACGCTCGTTTTGAGCAGTGGCAAGAGGTGACAACGCTCATTTTGAGCAGAGCCGGGAGGTGGCAACGCTCGTTTTAAGCAGAGCCAGGAGCCGGGGGAACGAAGCTTTTCCTCCAACGCTCGTGATTTAACCGTCCCTCTCTGGCCCGGAGCTCCGGCCCCTCGGGAGGAGCTCTCTGAGCGCAGGGAGAGGGTCCCTGCCCTGAGGAGCAGCACACGACAGGTCCCCGTGTCCCCACCTGCTCTCCTCCCCTTCCAGCAGCTTCCTGTAGGTCGCAATCTCGATGTCCAGGGCCAGCTTGACGTTCATGAGCTCCTGGTACTCCCGGAGCTGCCGGGCCAGGTCCTGCTTGGCCTTCTGGAGGGCGTCCTCCAGCTCGCTCAGCTTGGCCTTGGCGTCCTTGAGGGCCATCTCCCCGCGCTCCTCGGCCTCGGCGATGGCGGCTTGGAGGTTGGCACACTGGGAGGGAGGAGAGCAGGGACCCGGTTGGCTTGGGATGCCCCAAACCGCTCTCCCGAGCGTTGCTGGGGGGGTGCAGACACCAGGGTGGCACTGAGAGCTCAGAGAACCACAGGAGGATCACAGGAACCATCGAGTCCAACTCTTAACCCCACACAGGACACCTCAAAAGTGTTGTCCTTGAGCTCTGCCAGGCTTGGCACCGCTGCCCTGGGGAGCCTGGTCCAACTCCTGGTGGGACTTGGCTCTTCCCACCATGCCCGACCTCCAACAGCTCCCACCCCCCCTGCAGGACCACCCTGCAGGACCCCCCCCATCCCACCTGTTTCTTGACGCTGTCGATCTCGTTGCGCAGCCTCTGCACCATCCTGTTGATCTCCGAGATCTCGATCTTGGTGTTCCTCAGGTCGTCCCCGTGGCGCCCGGCCGAGACCTGCAGCTCCTCGTACTGGGACGGGGAGGGAGAGCACTGGTTACGCCCCGAGGGGGGGGCTCAGGGGAGCAGAGGGGACCGCGGGGCACTGGGAGCAGGTCTGGATGTGGGGAAAGGGCCGGGGGACAACGTTCCCTTGGGAAAGCTGACTGTGGAAGGGCAGCATTTGCCCTCGGTTGTCGATGCTTGGCATGATTGCACAGAGCCCCCACAACAGCCCGGGAGGGAAAGGGTGTCAGGTCAGAGCCACCAGCGAGCCCGAGGTCAGGGCACTGACATCCCCTGGATCCTGGGAATCAGGCCGTGCTCCCAGGAATCAAGCTGTGCTCCCAGGAATCAGATTGTGCTCCCAGGAATCAGCCTGTGCTCCCAGGAATCAGGCCGTGCTCGCAGGAATCAGGCTGTGCTCCCGGGAATCAGGCTGTGCTCCCAGGAATCAGCCCATGCTCCCGGGAATCAGCCTGTGCTCCCAGGAATCAGCCCATGCTCCCGGGAATCAGCCCGTGCTCCCAGGAATCA